TCCAAGCAAGTAGTTTATTCAGATAAATAAATAAAAAGCAGGAGGTTGCCTGGCAAATGCTGTGTTATTGAAAAAGAGTAAGACTACTTTTAAAGGATTTCTCTTATCCTAACCGAAAACAACTTCCCTCCACTACAGAGAAATCTTAGTTTCAAGGGAAAAGATCAATCATTCAGAATGCAACTTTCCTCTGAATATATCAAAGAAACGATCAAAACTCTAGTTCATTATACTTTAATATCCTACCTTTCAATTGCATTTGTCTCTCCTTTTTCTTTCAAAGCATTTGTAATGTTTATTTTTTGTAATCTTAGATTTTTTAAAGTTATGATTGAAAATTTCATAAATTATATTAGAGATATTTTGTCCAAAATAAAGCATGAACTAATTCTGTGGTTTTTAAAACACCTGATTCTAAATATCACTTCATTTGTTTATGCTTCCTGTTATAGCCATTTATTAAAAAGTAACATAATGTGTCTTTTTAGCTTCAAAGAGCATATAGCTTCTTTCCGAACATTCACTCAATGTTGCTTCCTTCAGTAGCATCCTTGAATAATTATTATACCTTCTTTCCTAACTCAGATTTGGCTTTCATATCTATTATGGTCAATTTCAATATGCTGAAAAAAATATCTAAGTTGATTCTAGGTGCCTACCCTAAAGTTTTATATCTTAAAGGATATTTCTAGAAATTGGTGCTTTCAGCTGCCTGTCAGTAGCAGCAGGGAAAAATGAATACACCAGTAAACCCTCAGAAAATGTTCTAATATTGATTTCTCTTCTAGCTCTATTCCTAGAGTTCAGCCAATGGAGTCAGTAATATCATATGGTTAATCAGTTTCGAAACATCAACTAAATATTCCAAAACATGTCAGCATACATTACTATTAAAGTCACAGAATTTAAGTTTTCTCAAAGATAGAGGACCGCTTTATTTCCTAATGTTCCTTTACTTTTATCCTTCATAATTGTGATAAGTTTTTGGTGTTATATTTGTTTTGTTTATATTTTAAGAAAACTGAACATGTCAACTGAGACTTGATTTGCCAAAGTCATATTGATTCTTCATAAAATTAGAAATCCAAAAATGGCATATTTTGTACCACTAGTTTGTACCACTGTTTGAAACAAAAAGTCCAATAGGGAATGCTCTCTCTTGAAATGGCTCTGAGCAGATCATGTCTCCTTTCAGAAGTGTTAGTGTATGAAAGTTGAAAGTTTAGACATTGTGATCTCCAAGTCAGGGGAAAAAGCCAGATAAATTGTTGAAGAAAATATTAGGGTGGACTGAAAAATCAGATAAGCTCTTCAAAGTGTAGTTTGACTATCAATGACACAATATGAGATCTAGAGCTGTTGCAATCAAGCCTTTGCATTAGTGATATGACACATTAGTCAACTTCAAACTGTGGGTTTCTGAGTAGATTATTACAATAATGAATTGCAAGGCATATCACAACAAACATTATACTTTCTAAAAATAATATATAAAACCATCATATCACATGATGAGTGTAATATATAGGTATGTTTTGTTCTTTTTTAAATAAAATCTGGTATATAAATACATTTAATTTTTAAAGATAAACTAAGAAATAATCAGTACTACAAAAGCATTCCTGGCTATCTCTAATAATAGAACTTTAGACAATAAAATGATTCAATTTAGAAAAAAAAATGTATTTTTTTAGGAATACATCTATTTCATAAATATAATTTACAAATAAATAGAAAACTACTTCTCTGTGATGTTTCTGGTATTATTTTCCTTTGCAGTCATAGAAATCTCTGATTGCTGAAAAAACATTAATAATTTATTTGTTTTATATCTTTTTGGAGGAAACATTGGCATTTATAAATACAAGTACCACGAAGATTACAAATGATACACATTGCAAAGAAAGAAATACCACTGAGGCTTGCAAACCTCCTATGAAATATATTTGTCTCAATTTATGCTATTCTGAATAGAAAGCTATATACCTGACACAGGTTAAAAGGTGGGTGAAAATAGCCACTCTGAAAATAATCTAAGCTATAGTAATTATACTGCACTATGAATCAATTTTAGCATTTTTAGGGAGTTGCTTAACTCCTGAACTTTTGAATTTCAAATTTCAGAAAGACTGATTCAGGATTATATATACCTAAAGTCTGCAAATAGAAATAAATATTACATCATATTTTTTCACTTTATTTTTGAGGTAACATTTGTTTGCAATACTGAACATAATTAACAGGTATAAGATCACACCATTTCATCTGTACATTACCCTACCACATCCAACACTACATGACACACACACACATTATATTTTCTAAAGTGACATTTAATGGAATCTTAAAATTTAGTTTTTGAGTGTTCTCAAAATATAAGAAAATGTAATCCTATGTCAAATTGACATTTTATGATAGTCAAGAATTACAGGTTCAAAATTTGCCATTTAATTTACCAGGTCGCAAGTTGGGTCAATTTAGTATAGATTTCAGCTAAAGGTTATAAAAGGGGTGAATAAACAATTAACATTTACTCTTTCGGTGAATATTTATTGCACTTATCCAATAGACTCAACAGGGAGGCAGAATTTTTTTTTTAATGGGGAGGGGATTTAAACCTTACAAAAAGTGTTTGAAAATGAAGCTGTTAAAATTTATGAGCATTGACTTGTTAACAGCTGAGGAGCCTGTGAAATGGGGTCCACAAGCAGTATGAGTTCATGCTTGTGTGCAAGGAAGGAAGAAGGAAGCTTTCACTCTAGACTCAGTCTAACAAAAAGTACTCTTTGTCTGAAAAGCTGGCAGGAGGGAACCCTCCCTTTACAGTAGCAGGAACAGACCGCGGAGGCAGTGAGTCACAGAGACAGAGGGCAGAGTAGTAGGAAGATATAAGCAGAAAAGCAAGATCTGAGGAGAAGTAACTAGTGGTTTATTTTTGCTGAGCATATTAAAAAGAGGTAAAACCTTAGCATAGAGTTAATGATAGTCTGTGTCTAATATGAATATTGAACAATTGTATAAACACAGGTTGAGGGTTTCCTGTAAATAAAGGAAAATATAAGTGCAAATTATCCTGGGGGAGGGATGGCAAAAAGATGCTATAAAAACATATCAGTAGAGGGCCTCCCTGGTGGCACAAGGGATTGAGCACTGCACTACGAAGCAATCTGCAGCCTCTGCAGCATGAATTCAATCCCAGGCCAGCCAAGGAGAAACCCACATGGCGCAGCAGACCTCTCCTGTCTCACCCTCTGCTCCCCTCAGCAGTGTATTTCAGTCAATTTGCCTGTTCTGTTCCCCACTCTGTCTCTCACCCCCCTCATCTCTGGCCTGTACCCCAGCTCTTATATGCATAAATAAATAAATCTTTTTAAAAAAAAAGAGCATGTAGAATGTCAGCCAGTCTAATTATTATATATAACTTTCTTTCTTGATAAACAATTCAGATACCTTGAATTCAAACAAGTCAGTATAAAACAATTGTCCTATTAAAGAGGCTGTAATCATATTTAATTCAAACAACTTTGAAGTGAACTGATAGTTGATATTTGAATAAAAAAAAATCTGACAAATGCATAATTTTAAGCTGAACCTGATTCATCACCATAATGTAAACACATACCAGATAAAAGACAAACTTGGTGTATGGGAGCTTTCCCCATGAAAGTCAGTCTCAGCTCCTCCAAAATAAGCAACAGATACAATAGATAGATGTGGGTGGGGCTGGGAGGGAGAAACTTGCCATTCTTTTGTGTAAATGTTTATCATAACAGGATTGAATGGAGATCATTTGCTCTCTTTCAATTTTACATATAAGTGTAAAAGATGTAATTCCTTCTACAAAGGTAATTGAAGCAAGGATTCAAAAATATACTTTAATTTTGGAAAGTAACCTTTTGGTACAAGTAGAAATATCATTACAATGTTCTGTCATCAGTTTAGATGTCTATAAATTGAAATATTCTGAGTTATACTACCAGACCTCACATATTACTAAAATTAACCAAAAAAATTTCAATCTATTAAATTGCCATAGAAATTCTTAAGGAATGCTTGCACATATAGTACTTAATATACTAACACCTTATTGAATATCTAAATTACATGTGCATGAAAAAAAAGTAAAACACTGTCTCATCTGTAAAACATTCCTGAAGTCTTTTTAAGATTATGAATTAGCTCACTTCAAATTTTATTTCAAAGACTTTTAAATTCAGAGTCAAGTAGGTATTTTGTGCTGAACTATTATTCAGCCACCCCTGAATCAGTTTCTGTCTTGACATTATATTCAAAGTTTTATTTCTGAAATATAATAAATGCCTCTTTAAATATGACTCATTCCTTTATATAATCACATATCATAAAATACAAATCAGATGATAGGACAAAACAGATTAATAAAAAAAAAGATTGGTATGGCATGGTTAGCTAAAGTAACATCTTAAGGCAAATATTGGTGTTGTTCATTCTTATTAGAAAAGGATCATCTTCATAAATTATTTCTCATACATGTCTTATGCTTTCTCAATTTAAAGGCAAGTCTGAGGAAAAGATGTTTCCTTCTTATTTATAAGGAAAATTAATCTGTATATATAACTCTCTAAATATAGCACTGCTGCATTGTCTATCCTTTGAAAATTGCCTTCCCTGTCTCAGAATTGTTTTCTATGCTCACAAGTGATGTAAATAATAATAATCCTTTTTTATAAAACTTCTAAATTCAAACCAATATGGTATATAATATGTAAAATTAAAAAAAAAAACTACACACTGATTTTCTAAAGCTGTGGTGTTTCCAAAAGAAATAATTTATAACAAAATAAAAACAAGCAAAACATGCACTTAAATATCTTTTGTAAATATCAAAGACTCATCACCTATGTGCATATAATGCTTTTTATAAGCTCACTTATTCATGTGAATAAAAATATGTTCATTCAGCCATTATCTTATACTCAATGCTAGAGGAATGATAATCTTCTGGATTCTTTATCCTACAGTGCCCTTGAAGGGTCCCAAGGAGAAAATTCTGCTAAGTCAGTATTCACTTCGCCAATGGAAAGGACTAGTAATTTAAACAGGTAATACACATTTCCATAGTTAACATTCTCAGGCATGCCCCCAGTTAATGCAAAATGCTGATGAGTTTCCAATCATGTGGAATTAATTTCTGGAGCGAGACTGGGGAGCGACATCAGGTTTCATGAGGAAATCAGTAAAAAAATGAAAGACCAGTACATGAAAACTTCCTCAATTTAGCTCTGCAATGGCCTCAGATAATCACTTATAGCTCTGCTCATAAAAAGAAAATAATATCCAGGAACTAAGTTAGCAGTACCAGAAGGAAGATAAATCTTTCAAAGATAAACAGTAGATGAGGTTATAACACCTTCCTGTTCTAAGTTTGGTTCTCTCCAATGGATAATAACAATGACCATTTAAATAATAGGTTATTGATAAATATATATTGAATTTTTTTATAAAATTTTTTCTGTTCTCTTTATATTCTTTTTTTAAAAGATTTATTTATGCATACAAGAACTGGGGTACAGGCCAGAGGTGTAGGTGGTGAGAGGATTCACCAGAGACAGAGTGGAGAGCAGAACAGGCAGAATGGATGAAATGAACTGCTGAGGGGAGCAGTGGGCAAGTCAGGAGAGGTCTGCTGCACCATGTGGTTAGCTCCCTGGCTAAGGATCAAACACTTGCCACAGAGGCTGTGGATAGCTTCACAGAGCTGTGCTTAACTCTTTGTGCCACCAGTGAGTATCTTCCTTAAAATTACCATTAACTCTAAGGAAGGGAAAATGATGCTTCCATATTCCCAGAGGAATATAGACCTAGATACCATAGGAATCAGTTATATTTCATCATTTCAGAAATTTAGTATAATTTCTGACTTAGTTTTAGAAGACTCTAGTTAAAAAGTTTTCTTTTGATATCTCAGTTTGTAAATATTATTTGCCATAATAGGTAAAGGGAACAAAAGTAATTTTTGAGTGTTAGGAGAAATTTTAAATCAAGAGGATAAATCCATTTTCAAAATAATGCATATACTTCTATTTAATTTGCATTCCAGTATATGTGCTACTGAAGTAAGCACTAATTTGCATTTTACGCATAGTTCCTTTGGGTAGAACTTTTCTCTGTTGATGTTTAAATGTCCTAAAGTTTTGTAACTAAATAACAATGGGAGTTTATAAAATAATCTTTAATAAAAGTCCATCCTTTTAAAAATGTTTAAGCAACTGAATTGCCATCATCTGAGTCAGCTTATGAATAATATTATATGTATAAAACTTCTTTGCTTGTGTGATTTCCTCAGGGATCAGTAAGTTCTACACACTGAATAAGCCCAGTTCATTTTGTCCTCTTCTTGGTCAGACCTTATGGAAATAATAATGTGTATGATAAGCAACCGTTTCTCATGTAAATGACAAGCTTTCAGATGTGAGGTTTGCATGTGGACTCCTGTATGTAATGCCATCTCACTTCCTGAGACGGGGTACCCACACGGCTCACCTCAGACTCTTCTCTCCTATACCACTTGCCTGTGCATCTCTCCAGTTCTGTCTGATTTCTAAGGCTTCCCTGCTTCTGCTCTTCCACACCCTATCACTCCCCCATTTAACCTCCACTTACACATTCTTGCCATCCTCCTCCATGGAAGCATACCATTTGCCAGGATTAAAGCAAGGTTACCATTATCTTGGGTAATATTGGACCCATAGTTAATTCCACCTTCTGATTTTGCAAAACCAAGCTCTTTGGGAATTAAACATTTGATTTTTTTAATCATTGAAGTAACCTAAAATTATCAATGTGTAATTTTCATTTGCCTTTGAAGTAAATGTTCCTTCAGAGGACAGAATAGTTTTAAAATCCTGAAAACTTCAGAACTATCTCATAAGCAATTAAATGCTTAACTTATAAAATAGCTTCTTCCATTACTAACACAGTCAATCTGAAGCAATAATACAGCAGAATCAAAAAATAAAGCAGATGATTATCCCAATGGTATGTTCCTCCTCATAGAGCTGCTATGGAAAATGTGTGCCGATGCCATTTTTTCCTCTTTATTAGTACTAAAATATCCATTTCTTGTGATGTGTAAGAAGTATGTGTTTGCTTTTTAATGGATAAGAGCATAATTAAGATATATGGGCTTTATCTGGAATAATTGAAAATATTTTGAGTGTGTTCATGAAGATATGACTATCAACCTTTTCATATAAAGAGCATCATAAAATTTAACTGTTTCCACACATTCAACATCACTTATCATCAAAGAAATGAAAATCAAAACCTCAGTGTTATACCATCTCACACCTGTGAGAATGGCCCGTGTCAAAAGTACCAGAAACAATAAATGCTGGCAAGGATGTGGAGAAAAGGGAACCCACCTCTGCTGCTGGTGGGAATGCAAACTGGTCCAGCTCTTTCCTTATGGAAAGCAGTATGGGAGGAACACAAAGCATTAAAAATGGATCTGTCATCTGACCCAATAATTCCACCATTTGGCATCTACCCCCAAAAACATTAATTAGAAAGGAAGTTTTTACTCCCATGTTTATAGTAGTATAATTTGCTATAGTTAAATTATGAAAACAACTTAAGTGCCCCAGAAAAAGATGGGTAGATCAAAAAAATGTAGTATGCGTGTGTACACACACACTGGCATACTCTCAGCAATCAAATAAAAAACTCATGCCATTTGCAGCAACATGGATGGAGTTGGAGAAGATAATGCTACATGAAATAAGTTGGAAAGAGGCAGATAAGTACTGGATGGTGTCGCTAATAAACAGATACAGAGAAACCAAATTAAGAACCAGAGAAAGATAACCTTAAATTCTAACACTTGAGGGACTCCCCGATGGTGCAGAGGTTGAGCGCTGGGCTGTGAAGCTGCCTGCAGCCTCTGCAGCACTGGTTCTATCCCCCGGCGACAGATCTCTCCTGCTGCTCCTGCCACTCCCCTCAGCAGTGTACTTCATCAGTCTGCCTGCTCTGCTCCCCGCTCTGGCTCTGGTGAATTCTCTCACCTTCCCGTGCTTCTGACTGTACCCAGTGCTTGCATAAATAAATAAATCTTTAAAAAAAATTCTAACCCTTGAAAACTGACTATAGAGGTGAAGCAACCAAAGGGTGAGGGGGTGGAGGAGGAGTAGGAAGAGGGAAGGAAGCACAGTGGACTGCAGTCGTAGACAATGGTAGTAGATACTGTGTGGTGGCACCTGATGCAGAAAGTCCTAATGTTACTACAAGTAAAAGAATAATAAAAAATATATAGGTGCATGAAAACAAAATCACTAATTTAATCAATTATTCTCTTTTTCAATTTTGCTTTATATATTTGAATTCTAATATCTCGGGAAAATAATATGTACTCAATATTAGGTCAAAACTGAACCCTATTGGAAAATATCAGGAAATTCTTGATGTCTCTATGGCCATGTAGCTTCACATTGGTTATGCATTTAACACAATTTATCAAAATTGCCAACATGCTAATTAGCTATATGTTTTATTATCTCATAGGAATGTAGAAATGGAACATTCACTTTTTGAGTATTATCTTAGCTTGTAATGTAACCTATTCATTTGTAAGTTTGTCTGATTTAGTATTTTTTTCTTTTAAATATATTTCATTTCTGAAAGCAGTTTTGGGGGCACTGATAAAATGAGCAAAAGGTATAGAGAGTTTCCATATATATACCTTCCCAAGCCCTTCTACACAAAGCTTCCCACCTATCAACATCCTGCCCCATAGTGATGCAGTTGTTATACTTCATAAGCCTATGTTAACCCTTACAATCACTAAAGTCCACAATTCTCATTAGGATTCACTCTTATTGCACGTTCTAAGTTCAGATGAATGTGTGCTGACAGATATCCCTTTCTCCTCTCTCCTACCTCCTGGTAACTACTGATTTTTTTTTTTACCATGTCCACAATTTTACCTTTCCAGACTGCCATATAGTTGTAATCATGTATGTAGTATGTAGTCTTTTTGGATTGGCTCTTTTCAAGTAGTAATATGCTGATCAATTATTTCTTTCAAGGATGTTGCCTTTAGTGTGTTTCTAAAAAGTCATCATCCCCAAGGCCATCTAGTTTTTTCTCCTATGTTATCTGCTCAGAATTTTATAGTGTTACACTTTACATGTATGTCTGTGCATTTTGAGCAATATTTTTTATACTTGTGCAATAAAGTCAAGTCTTTCATTACAAAAATCCCTGAAGAAATATAAGCATTCAGTTTTAAATAATAAGGATTCTACTAATCACTAGTATTCTAAAAACACATATTGTGTGATTTCCAAAAGGGGCTTTAACAAGATTTACCTGTACAATAGATACAAAATACCTGGTAAATTAATGTAACTGGGTTAGAAAATAAATCTTTACAATTAATGGCCCAACTCAGGAAAAATTTTCATATTCCATTGTCAGTAGCACATGTAAAGTTGTAATTTGACATTTCATGTTGTAGCAATTAAATTTAGATTCCCTTTATATATAAAAATGGTAAATATAGAACAAAAATCTAGACACAGATTACAGTACATGTTTACTCCAGAAGTCGTGTTCAGCAGCAATTATTTAAAGATAAAATCAATTCAGCAAAAAGCATTCCACAGTACATGTAATCATCTAAAGAATCTAGTTGTAAGTCTATCCACTCATTGTGGAGCTATTATCACTTTTCATGAAATTTCTGCATTCAAGGGCATTTATAATATCTATAAACAATCAGTAATAAGTAAAGACACAGTGAAGCACTGACAATTTAGGTCTAAAAACCCATTTCCTATAGAAAAAACTATAATCTCTACCAAATGATTACTTTGCAAACCATCTCATACTATTTCAGAAGGAAATCTTTAGAATTGTTGGCTATAACTATTTTGAAAACTCTATATAACTTCTTTGAAAATTTTCCCAGCAGGAAACTGACTTATCCTTACATCTTTGAAACTAAAAAGGCTAAAGGGTAAACATCCTATTTCTTATGTAAGTAGAATTATTAAATGTCAAAGCAAAAGAAATTCAGGTCTCAAAGATAATTCTATTCTTT